GTGCCGGCGTAGACCCGGTATCCGAACGTGAAAGAGCCACAGTTGAAGAGATCATTTATTCATTAGCTGCCTGCTCTGACAACATGACACCTGCCACGAAGAGCAGAAATATCCAGAAACGCTTTAAAACACATCATACCCAAGTGATCAGGCTGGCTGATGGCGCTCTTTATAATTATAGCCTACACACACATGCAGCGATTAAATCGATAACCTTTCATGATTTCAATTAAATTAAATGACACTGACTATTGACTCACTGACCAAACTCTAGTTTCTGTCAAGGTGATAGCGGTAAAATACATCATCAGTCTGCTTTCCACTGGCTGAGGGCCATAAATCTGCAATGTCCCTTGAGAATTTTAAATAGCTGCAGCTGGGTATATTAGTGTTGAAATTGGTCTTGTGTACAGCCCAGAGGCCTGCCACCACTATGTGCTAAACTGGGCATCTTAATGAAATAAAAAGGCTGCGTGTTACATTGAGTTACCTGTAAAGGCTCGAGTTGTCCCCAGTGACACAGAATAATGCATTTAATGTGTTTTGGCTGTATGAGAAAATCTATTTCTCCCAGAATCCCACAGCAACAGAAGGACGAAGGGAAAGAGTGAAAGAAGGAGGAGAGAACAAAGAAAGAAAAGAAAAAAAAAAACAAACATGTCTGGAAACAGGAAACGGGAGAGAAGGAGGAGGACAAACAACCGACTGGAAAAAAAAAAAAAAAGAGGCAAAAGAATAGTCGAGGGAGGACGGCAGAGGGAGGAGGGAGAAAACAGAAAACACAGTGTTTGCAAATCACAAATTAAAAGCATAAGCATGCTATACACCAAACAATGTCCCAGAGGAAATATGGGCCTTTCAGCATAAAAAAATCCTATTTGGGGCGAATAGATAGGTAGAGACAGCCACTTCTGGGGCCTCGGCTGTCATTTACAGCAGAGGTAAAGGATGCAAAGCACAAACACTGGAGGAATATTTACTATTGTGCCAATCTGACACAACTACAGGCCTGTCGCTCTCTGCTAACTGCAGCAAAGGCCACAAATCAGACAGTAAATGATGTGTATTTCAAAAGAGTACAAACTTTAAATCAGAAAAAAGAGAAACTCCCACTAAGGCGTCATGATGCTGTAACTTCATTTTTACAGTCTTTGATCATGTCCTAAAACACACAGTCGTTCTGACTGGCTTACAGTGGTCATGAATTATTAATATAATAATGATGCAGAGATGGAGAAGGAAATTCCACAAGAAATATTCATAACAAAGGAACTGAAGTTTTAATTTTTATGCCTCTGCACAAATGACACAAATGCTTGTCTGTCCTGACCTCCGACATAAGACATAAACGACAAATGTCCACTTGGACTCACTAAAGAACAGATTCGGTGGTCAAAAGTCACTGTTGCTTTATAAAACATGTCAAACAGGGTGAAATGATGCCAGTGGAACCTCCTCCAGATCAACATGGGGACGACTAAAGAGCTGGTGGTGGACTTCCTCAGGTGTAGACACGCCCCCCAACATCAGTGAACATCCAGGACATGGACATTGAGAGAGTGGACTCATACAAATACCAGGGTGTTCACCTGAACAATAAACTGGACTGGTCAGACCACACTAAGGCGCTTTACAGACTCTATCTGCTCAGGAGACTGAGGTCCTTTGGGGTGCAGGGGTCACTCCTGAGGACCTTCTATGACTCTGTGGTGGTATCAGCCATCCTCTATGGAGGGGTCTGCTGGGGCAGCAGCATCTCAGCTGATCAAGAAGGCCAGCTCTGCCCTGGTGGTGGGAGAAGCTAGCATCCCTGCTGGACAGTGATGGCACTCTGAGGGCAGCTCTTGTAGCGACAGACTGCATCACTCCAGATGTGACGGAGCGGTACCACGGGTCCTTCCTTCCTGTCAGACTTTATAATCAGCACCAACAGGCCACACAGTCACTCACATAATGACAACTGTCATGTGCAATAAACCGCAGTGCAATTCATTCATGTAAACATTCTTAAATTGGTGTTCTTAGTATCCTTGTGTTCTTCTGTTTTTATTATTCATATTGTGTATTTATAGCATATATTCCTCGTCTCTTTAATTTATAGTTCATTGCTTGTTTTTCTTACTCTCACTCTGCTGCTGCGACGTCGCAAACTTCCCCATGTGGGACTGATAAAGGATATTTTATTCTATTCTGTTCTATTCTATTCTATTCTATTCTGTTCTATACTATGCTATGCTATGCTATGCTATGCTATGCTATGCTATTCTATTCTATTCTATTCTATTCTATTCTATTCTATCATTTTGTTTCCAAAAAGTCAAAGGTCACGTCAGGACAGACGTGGGTGTAAATAAATTAAAAGTAGTAATTCTTGCTATCTGATGTTTATTTTCACCATCTACAAGCAAGATACCATCAAATGTTGAAGAGTTTCCCTAAAAACATGTGTCCTCTACATGTGAATCCAACTTCACCACGTCCTCAGAACACCGTGCACAGAAAAGAGGCTTCTGTGGTCAGTCAATGTAAATCTGGAGGCTTTTGCTGCATGTTATCGTCTCAGTGCTTCTACTCAGTGCTACGACACTAAAGCTGAAATCAAATCTATATGTGCAAGAAATTAATTTTGGCAAAACATTTAAGAAAAAAAAAATGCATTGTCTCAAAACAGCAAAACAGAAAGACCTCCTTTTGTGGTTTATTCACAAATTACATACATGAGAACCTGCAGAAATACTGAAAACAATAAAAGGAGCCACGTAGAGCTTTCTTGTAAACAAACAAAACGCTCCGGTGTTTTTCACCGGGTCTGAGAAAAGTGCTGAATGCATTTCCTCGACCATAAAACATTCACAAAGCAGATTCCTGAAACCTGCGTTGTAGAATTAAGTAGCATCTATTTTTTCATACCTTCCTGACATTTCACTACGATATAAAGCGTATAAAGGTATCTGAGAAAAACAACAAAAACAAGGAGAAGCTGCTGCTGGTGATAGAATATGTAGCACGTGTGACAATAAGCGTTCTGTCTCCGTGGAGGCTTCGTGCTGGAAGAACCCATTTCGGTGAACGTTTTTCATTTCTGTATTTTGTCGATGTAGCAGAAGTCGCTGCTGCTATGTTTAGTTGTTGCATCGTGGGTTTGGAGAAGCTGCGAATCTTTGATGACGGTTTCACTTTTGCAGCAGCTCATGAGCACTTTGAGGCGTGAACGAGGGTTTGACCTGTTAATTAGACGTCCTGCGGTGGGCGTTGTGGGTTCGGTCAGAACCGGGTGGTAGATTAACTATTTGTGTTTTTGCAGATTGGCTCTCATACACTGGTTGGGTGGTTGTGGGTATTAAAAAACCGGACCCACGACTGCATGCAGCTTCGTCCGTGTCGGCTGGCTTACCGTTATCTATGGAAGCAAAATTAAAATACGGCCAAACAAAGGCCCAGACGAGCTCCTTTATTACTAGTTCTGTAGCATCGTCTGCACCACGTCAGCACCACTGATGCTACTCTGGACCGTCTGTGCTGCCAGTTAGTCTGAACCCTCATTACGAAGCCACAGTCACCTGACAGGTATGACAACATACTACTCCCTTAGTTGTCGTGGCCGACAACGCGTTGCTAAAAAGATCATTATCGCTCGATTAAAGTGGAAGTGGACACTAAAGAGAGAGCAGAGAGTTACACGACCCCTAAACAACGTCTGTATTGAACATTCCAGCGAGTTCGCTGCTACGAAATCTGGCTGTTGTTCATTTTAAGAATTGCTAAAGCCTGAAAAGACAGTTGGGATGAGATGACAACTTGCTAAAGAGTGGTAGCTTCCTTATACCCTAGATTACACTGTTTTCAGACACTTTCCTCTTTTCATTCCTATTTATAAACATCAGTCATCACTTCTGACCAGGTGCAATCATTACATACTGAGTCCCAGTTACCAGGTGAGACTTCTGGATCTGACTGAAGAGTGGGACGTCCTGCCCATTGACACCATCAACCAGCTGGTGGACAGAATGCCACCATGTCTTAATGCATCGATCCGTGTCAGGGGTGGCCAGAGTCAATATTAGTGACATTTGAAAGACTAATATTGGACACTCTGATGCATGAATATGTGTTTCCTGTTATATGACCAGGGTTGAAAAGTTGAAATACTTATTGTTCAGTACCCCCAGTTTAGTTTAAGCCTGAATAAAGAGTTTGCAAAAGTTAGCTGTGGTTTAATTTTTACTGTGATGTGTATTGTATGTATATTGTGATATCAATAAAGTTTTGATAAATATACACTTTATCTATCCAGAATAAATCCTGTCACGATCCTTTCATGAGAAGAGGTTAAAAAAATGTGTATATATAGTTCCAGAGATAAGGCTAAGTGGGCTTCCACCTCTATCATCATCATCATCTTCTCATCATTCATTATTACTATTCACGTCTGTTATTTATCATTTTCCACCTTCGTCATCATTTTAAATCCAGAGAACCAGGATGGGCAGGTACGTTGCCATGATGACAACTTCAGTGCGTACAGAAAATACAGACTGATTCAATATGACTGTAGTTATTTCTATGACTGTTCCACGCCTTTTTTCTTTCTTTGATATGTTTTCTGATTTTTCTATACATCTCATTATGTGACGTTCCTGAAAGAATCTAGATCCTGAGACGTGTCTGTTAACATCTGTATAGTTCCTGTCACTTCCAATATGAAGGATGAATCTTTTTTAAACGTTGAAACTACATATTGTCACCACACAAGAACATATAAACTAATACAGGTAGTAAATGACAATATGTGTAAAACCATGACACCTGATTAAAAGCTTATGTGATCTCACCTTTCATTTCCTGTCAGCTGTACGGCGGCAACATGTCGGTTAGAAGAGCAGCGTGAATGTACCCGACTCAAGCTACCCCTCACCGTTACAATGCAGAATCCAGCTTTTATAAAACCTATGCTGGAGCGACAAATACTCTCAACATGAAGTCAGATTCAGCTCACTCACCCCCCTGATCGGTGCTGACGGTGATGAAGGCCACCTGGCGAGGGAAGGAGCTCAAGTCGGACACGCCGTTGAGCGACTCGATCTCGAAGGTGTAGTTGGCGTGCGAGGAGAAGTCCACGACGGTGACGGTGGCGTTGGTCAGGCCCAGCGGACGTGGCAGGAAGCGGAGCTCCTCCTCGCAGAGCTGGCACTGGTTGGGCTCGGGCCCGCAGCGCTTGCACTGGACGTTGTAGGTGAGGTCCCGGCGGCCGCCGGTGTCGCTCGGCGGCGACCACTCCAGCAGCAGGCAGGTGTCGTTCAGGTTGAACATCAGGTTGCGGGGAGGAGATGGAGGGCCTGCAGATAGGAGCGGGATTTATAAAACATCAGGTTAAGTGTGCTTTCAAAAAACAGTCAATCATTCCTCAACACATAGAAGTGTTGATCTGACGGTGGTTTTGGTTTGTTCATCTCCACCTTCCAAATCAAATCCACAGTAAACCAGATTGCACCAAAACTCTGGACAGGATTTGTTTTGGTTCAAGCATAAAAACAAAGTTAGTTTCAGAGCTCATTCTGATTTTTCTGAGGTTACAACACAGCCGTCGTTCTTCTTGGTCCGACACACCAACAAAACTTTGTCTGATGACCCATCATAGGCCTAAGGATAGCAATTAGCCCACATAACCTGGTTACGCAGGCTAATTGAGAGGTTCCATCAGCCACCTGCTGGCTCTTCTCCACCACCGCTGGATCTCAGGACACTTTAATTCCCTGAAAGCAATCTTTTTTTGAGTAACTGAGCCGCTGATGTTACCGTGCAGGGAGGAAGATGCAATTGCATCTCATCAAGATAAGAGATAAACATTTAAAAGGCTCCCTTATTGCTGTGAGTTACTGTAAAAAAAAAAAAAAAGAGCATATACTGAGAAAAGCACAGAAGCCAAAATTGCCCTGAGACACGCCACAGCTGAAATGATCTTATGAACGTTTCACACAAACATCAACACAGTTTGTTTGTGCAGATTCTTACTCATTCGGGTCATGGTGCTCCGAAGAGCTCGAGTAAAAAAGCAACTGGAGTTCTCTTTTTGATTCTTAAAGATGCTTCGCTTCTCATCCGAACGGCTTCTTCACTTCTGAACCGAGAGGTGAAACGTCCTCAAGCACCAAAAAAAAAGAGACGATGAGGAGATTTTTTATTTTTTTTAAAACCGAATCTCTTTGGGTTCGTTAATCGACATTGAAAGCGTCTCCATGAAACTATTAGCTGTATTTCACATTCTGCTGTGCTGCATAACTCGTCCTTATGCATTCCTCACCTGTGCAGCAACAGCTCTAAGTTATTCCTTTCATTTCACTTTGTCGAGGTATTTTCTGTGTTCCTCGGTGTTTGTGTGTCGGGCTAAGCATTGTGCTATACCAGGCAGCCAGCTGTCAACAGGGTGGAGTTAAAAGGCCTGAGGGATTTGAACACTCCCGTCCTGCCAAGCTCACTGTCTGCCAGGACAATGGGATGCTTCCTCTCTCCTCCGCCATCCCTCCATCCCTTCCTCTCCCCCGCCGTTGCTAAAAATCTCAGCAGACAGCCGAGCTCCTCCCACCGCTCCTCCACTTCTGTCAGCGTGCGTCCATTCTCTCTCTTTATCTCTTTCTGCCTCCGTCGGCCATTATCTCACCTCCTCTGTTCTCTCCATCGAGGAGAATCCACCCACCTCCCCTCCTGCAGAGCAACCCCACTGCCATCAATCAGCTCCTATTCTTCTCTAGGGGCAGATTGGTATCAGCGCCCTCCTTCCTTTCTCTCTTCGCTGTCTACTCCGTCCAGCCTTTACACTTTTCCTCCACCTTTATCTCTCCTCCCGTGACATCTTCTCTTTCTTTCACCACACCTTTGTCTTCCTCTTAGGCCCTCAGTCTTTAATCTCCATTTATTTCTTTTTTGTCTTTTCACTTCAACAACAACAGTGAGTCCTACGAGTCCCCCGATTAAAATGCATTTCGTGAGCACGTCTCACAAGAAGAGGACGCGAGTCTAGTCCTCTTAGTTTGCAGGGTTGTCACACCGCCACAAGGCTTGTGTTCGGAGGAAAAGTAGCCTTGAAGATTTAGAATTTGCGCACGACTGTTGACAAGCCATTGAACAAGAATCGCAACTTTCTATACCGAACCAGGTGTCTAAGCGAATCCTAAAATAAATATCACTTGGTTGGCATATCTAAACCTGTTTGATCAGCACTTTGTTTTTAGACTTTGTGAAAAGGTAAGCAGAGTAGGAAAGACTGCGCTTCATCCCCGCTCGCGAAGATGTCCAAAAAAATAGCAGACTTTGATGGGGAAAGTCTGCGGGTTTGAACAATTTTTCAATAAACAGAAGCTCATAAACGCATTATTTGAGCGTAAAGCTAGAGATGAAGAGAAGCCTTTCCCCTGCAAACGTCTTCGTAAACTAACAGCATCTCCAAACAACGGCTCGGCTTGGTCTCCCCCGTAAAAAGACAAATACACTCCTCCACCCTGGAGAGCTCTCAGACGTGGCCCCCGTCTATCTCGGTGACAGCTAAATGGCTTTTTAATTAAAGGAGAATTAGTCCGGTTAAACTGTAATTTAATGCAAATATGAAGTCGTAATGACAGTCGGTGAATCATCGATGAAGACGAGGCAGCTGAACAAAAGCCATGTAATTCATCCAGAGACTCTCTAATGTTCAGTTTCACACCAGATAAGTCGCGAAGACGAGACTGGATTTACGGCCGCGGCAAAGTCTGAGAGAACACTGGAGTAATCCACCGGCTCTACGGGGAAAGTAATAACTTACCCAGACTGTCGGGCACACACAAGTATATAAATATTTAATGGGAATTTACAATGAATTAATTAAAGTTTAATCGGCCCAAAATAGAAAATCACTATTTCTGTCTCCCTAAAAATGACGGCGTGGTTCAACATGACTGCAAACGCATCAGAAACAGTGACGAATACAGTCCTGCACACGACTGGACGACGTTACCGAGTCTCATGAGCAGCAATAAACATCTCCTCCAGTTTGCTGTTAGCGCATAGGTGCATTTTCATTTCTCTAGATGTGCATTTAAATAAAATCTGTTGTTTTTTTTCTGAGCTCATCTGTTTAATATCTTCTTATATTAGTGCAAATTTACTGAGATGCACCGCGCGGTTCTGTTTCCCGTTTCACCCTCACAAATGCCTGGAGCACGGACCATCTGTCTGTGAAGCTCGTGGATGTCTGGTTTATCCGACGGTCAGATCACGTGCACGCGTGTGGAGGACGGTGCCAGCTTCTCGGGGATACTTACGTGTACAAGCCATAGTCGGAGGATCTTTCTCAGCCCTGAAGAAGCCCTTCTCACAGCGGCAGATCGCGGCTCCTTCTCCGTAGCTGAAGCTGTGCGGCGGGCACTTTGAACACTTGATGTTTCCGGCGTACGCCTTGTAGAAGCCTGGGTGGCACGCTGAGGGTGACACAAAGACGACGACAGGCTGTAAGTGCAAAACGGATTTACAGGTACAGATATTACACGGGAACACCTGATGTACACTCAGAAAGAGGCCCCAAAGGTACACACACTGTATGCTGGCATCCTTCAGAAACACTTAAATTCCTGAAAATCAGCTTGTCTTGCACTTGGGATCAACAGGATTATGAGACAATCTGCTGTGAGTTGATGCATGTTTACTTAAAGTAGTTAAAGAAAAGAAAAGAGCTTAAAGGACAAACAGACAAAGACTCTTCAAATATTTGTTTAAAATAAATTTCTCAACTGGAATCCAAATTTCATGTATTTTGTTTTAGAAAGATTGGTTTACCTGGAAGATGTTGGAGCTTTAATGACTAATTTATATTTATTGTCAGAGTTTCATTCTCAATGAATAATTAAAGGGCAATGTGATGGCAGAAAAGTTGTTAGAGAGAAAACGGCCAAATGTGTCGCCTGGTTCAGATGTCTCAGGGGGTTTCATGCCTTTTTTTAAAAATATAATCCTAGTGTGTTTAACCTTTAGTTAAAATTGTTGGTTCATAGATGCAAAAGTTAATTGTGAAAGGGAAGTTTCTAAACACATGTCTAAATCTGCGCAGGTATGTAATTCTGAAAAAGCTCAGATCAGAACTTTAACTTTTGGTTATGAGGTAACGACTGCATCAATCAAAAACACTGAGAAAGAAAAAAAAAACACACAATAGGATTAAAACATTTTGATTAATCAAAAGTACAGGCATGTAAAATCTGTCAACATATCTTGTAAATCCATCCATCATCTATAACCCTCACCAGGGTCATGGGGGGCTGGAGCCTATCCCAGCTGACTCAGGGTGAAGGCAGGTTCACCTGGACAGGTAACCAGTCTATCACAGGGCTACACTTAGAGACAGACAACCAAGCACACTCACATTCACACCTACGGACAATTTACAATCACCAATTAACCTCAGCATGTTTCTGGACTGTGGGAGGAAGCCGGAGAACCCGGAGAGAACCCACGCTGCACGGGGAGAACATGGAGACTCCACGCAGAAAGATCCTGGTGCCCCCACTGGGACACGAACCAGCGACCTTCTTGCTGCGAGGCAGCAGTACTGCCAACTGCCCCACCTTGCCGCCCTATCTTGTAAATATTTATCTTAAAAGCAGCAAATTTCTGTTACTATGACAATCAGAAACGCTCCTTTTCTTTCCATTTTTACACATCGCATCAGGAACAGCACAGATGTAAGTATAAATATATTAATGAATGCAGAACTCCGTTCACTCGGCCTTCTGGGAGACGAACACTGTTGGGATGCAACAGAATGGAGCCATTATTAATGTTATTAGTAACATGCTTAGCATGCAAATACATACTGCGTCTTAGTCTGCACCGCGCTATTTAACAGTGTGATGCACAGCAAATCCACAGCCTCCTCCAAGCCCAAGTGGTTCTGGCATTGGCAAGTCAGGACAAGACAAACGAGCCTCTGATCATTTTGACTTACTGTTGTTTTGCACAGTTTTTAGCGAGACGAGGTCTAATTATTTAAAGAAATACTTTCCAAAAGGTCACAGAAGACGCTCGGACTCGTCACAGTTGGAAAAACATGGGTGTAAATATTAAAACTGATGACACTGAATTCCATTTAGTTGTTTCGTTTTCACTTATTGTTCACGATGATTCACTGTCACACTGACATGGCTCACTGGGACAGCTGAAAAGGTTGAATCCAATATTAAGGTTTTTAGTGACAGTAATGCTTTCCCTGCTATGACAAGATAAAACGCCTGCTGTAGGGAAGATCTACTGCTCAGGAAGCAGACGATAAACACATATATATAAAGAGAGAGGCAATTAGAAGAATTATTTGCATGTTTATTTATCCATCAGTTTCAGAACATGTCTAACAAGCGAGTCCACACAGAAGGTTTAATGTGAGCAGAGCAGCAGCAGCACATCCAGCTCTGTGTTCCTATCTGCATGTGTTCAGGCACACTGAGCTGGAGGTCAGCGGTGTTTTGGAAGCACTCAGAGCCCAGTTACGCAATTATCATAGTTATGCACTTAAAATGCAGGAAAATAGTCCTGAAGTATAAAAATACGCTTTGCCTTTAGTGTGAGTCAAAGATGAGCTGTTATGCCTCCAGTACAGACAGGTGGGTTTATTTAAAATAGGAGCGCATCTGTTACATCACATGTGCCGGAGACGGACACCTGAAAACGCAGCAGACACGACTCAGAGCTTTCTGTACTGGTTCCTAACAGGTTTACACCAATCCACAGCATTAAAAGCACAGAAACCATGAAGCGAATAACACTGATCACATCGGTAAAATGCAACGTTCTGCCAGGACACCTCGAGATCTAACGTTCATGTAGATCAGGGGTGTCAAACTCTGGCCCGCGGGCCAAATTTGGCCCACTTTGTAATTATATTTGGCCCGCGAGACAATACCAAATGACTACTAGAGCCGCCCCCGGTATTATACTGTACAGCGCATTCACTACAAATCCCATAATGCCCTGTTGTTGTTTTGGCATGTCAATCAGGACAGGACCCAGAAACTCCCTCTCCTCTGTGACAGTAGCGACTTCACACTACAACTGTCACTGTGCCATTGATGTGTTTTTTTATTTATAATTTGATTTTGCATGTCTCCACTATTAAGTTATATATAATGTACGGGAATAAGCGTTGCTTGTTCCATATTCAATGTTAAAGCAAAATTTGTTTCGGTCCATATTAAAAGGTTCATTTGTTCAATGTTGGCCCGCCACTTTGTTCAGATTTTACATTTTGGCCCACTGTGTTTTTGAGATTGACACCCCTGATGTAGATGGTACATATCACCACAGAAACAACACAGGAACAGCTTGAAGAACATGACAAAGAGCCTGAGGTGTTGCCACGGCCTCCAGATCACAATCAGACTGAACATCTATGGGATGTCCCGCAACAACACAATTGACAGAGGCCCCATCCCATAACCCACAGGACTGTCAACATCCAAAACACCACAGGACACATTCAGGAGTCCCGTATCCCTGACCTGACAGAGCTGTTGTGGCAGCACCAGGGGAGGCTACACAATATTAGGTCGGGGTTTTAATGTTGTGGCTAATTGGACTTGTTGTTTAAACTACTTAGTTTTGTGCAAGAAACATGTTGTCAAAATGAGTCGAGTTCTAATTCAGCTCGAACTGCGTTTCTCAGTCCAGAACCTTTTGTCTGTGAAACTGTGCGATCGAGTGTTTTGCAATTAGTTCTACATTCACACAAAGACACTGCGTTAAAATTCACACAGTGAATAGAAAACAAATCTCCCTCTCTGGGCTAAAGGAGACAGAATAGCGAGCGCTGAAACTTCTTTTTCTAAAGCACCGTTTTTTGAGTAAATTGAAGGACAGGAATCGAATGTGGGTTCGTTTGATGAGCTATGAAATCAAAACCAATTTTACCGTAAACATTGGACAATAAACTTGCTTTACTTTGTTAAAAAAAAAATTTTTAAAATGGAAAGAAAGATTAAGAAATACAGAAGATGACAGACAACAAGCTGAAGAGTCTGAACGGTTGAATGTTGGAGGCGAAGTACGGCTGCCTTTTTTTTAAAATGGCGTCTCAAACTCCAAAACATTTCCATGTCACAGCCACATGCAAAAGTCTCCTGCCTGGTGAGATTTCACTGCTCCTGGTTGTCACCAAGCACATCGATTTAACAAGGTAACACAAGCTGAGCCATTTGAAGGGATTCACCTTGAAGCACCGAGCGCCTTTGTGTGTCTCCATCGCTGTCTGTGATAAATGGAGCTGTAGGGAGGACAAGGAAATGCCCGAAACCACGAGTGCGCTGATCAAATGGGGACAATTAGGACTGAGACAAAGAGGTTAACACACACAGGAACACACACACTGCACGAGCTGACATGATGGTTTATAGGGTTGTTAATCTGCATCAGCTTTGTTTGTTGGGTTGTAAACGGTCATCTCTGCGCCTGAATCAGGTCCACAGGGTCACGAGGTGCTGATTTATTCATTTGTTCCACCGAAGAATTAACATGCTTATATTTGCTTATTTTTCTTTTTTATTTCCAGCTTGTTGAAATTGACTCTGGCCTTCACAAACTCTGCTAAATGTTGACACGCACCGATGCACGCTGCACACAAACACACACAGAAGCTATGTGTATCAGTATGATAAGTGGCATCCCCCTACGGCGCACCAAGGCTGCCTCCGTCATTAACCTCTGATACCGACTTGTCCTTGAGTCAAAAACCGTCAGTCAACTCCCCCACCCCACTAGACCCTGTTTTAGACTCTGTCAACCTAATGATGCTTCTGTCCGACCTTCGCTGAACTGAGGGGATGTTCCTTTTCGAACCTCGCAGCGTCCTGCTGCAATCTGTCTGGCCAGACTCCGTTCCAAGGCCACAGCGGTGCGGTACGATGGCTGACCATGCGGCACCCGCGGATGGACACACACAGTGGCAAGAAGGTTAACACACACACGTGCCGGTATGTGCACACACACACACAAACGCACACACAGCGGACACGGCGACAGCGGTGACAAACAGCACGCCGAACTCAAGCCGACAGCCTGTCAAACGTGAATGAAGCCTGGAGATTTTGACTGGAAAAAGCAAAGTCACAGTCTGCAAATCAAATCCCACTATTGATCCATCAAGGACAAGAAGTTTCACCTCATAAACAAACATAAGGACATTTGCACATCTGTAACGTCGAGGAAGTTATTCACAGCGAAACTCTATTATTTCCCCCATGAATACGATTTCTGATCCATACAGATGAAAACGGGCGGCGGGTTTGCACATTAGACTGCCAATGTTCCGGTGACTACTGAGCATGAGAGCCAAAGCAAAACAGCACAGTGGAAGGAGGCAGCGGGGCAAAACCGAGGATGTGTGTTACTACAATGAATCCCTTTTTGCAACAGTTTCATCAGCCAAAAGGTCATAGAA